TGTCACTGTTACGAATCCCACACTCACTAAAATTCATAACATTCTGCTCATTTATAGTAATTTGACAGAAAAAAAAATGAGAACAGAAAAATGAAGCTTTCCTATGCTGCTGAATACAACAATCATGAAATGAAATCCAGAATCCTAACTCTAAATCTCTTTTTGCCAATAGACAACAGTCCCTAGAAAATACTTACTTTATGATAATTATTATTTTTCTAGCATTATGCTTACATGAAAGTTAACTTGCTGGTTCTGAACTCAGAAAACAAACAGTAAATGACAATGGTAAAAGCAAAATATTACTGAAACACTACTGACTTTCAAAGAATATGAGGAAAAATTAATTGGCAGATGTTTTACATAGCATAATTAACAGTTCATTTCAATGCTCTGTAACAAGATTAAGATAATTATGCTTAGAAACAGAAATGTAATAATGATAAATTACTAGTTTTCATATTACGGTCAATCTCCTACATTCCAAATAATCACCATGTTTAGAAATAGGTGCATCTGTTCCATGTTGTCATCAGCTATACAAATGGCACAAACTCACGGCTGGGTGAAACAATCTTTCAACAAAGATAGAGGAGATTTCCTTGCTTCAGGAGTAAATGGAGCGCCTGTTCCGTTCATCAGCAGAACAGAAGGTAAAAACCACCAGGGCACTGTTACTGGATAGAAGCTGAAGTTGCATTAGCAATTTGTATTTCTTATGGATAACTGGAGAGCAAAACTTCAAATCTGTGAGCTTAGCAAGTTACAAAAACTCCTCATATGGAAGTTCAAGAATGAGAATATGAGAATCTGTATTCCGAGATGGCGTGCAAAATATGAAGTCATATGCTTTCCTATATGGGTAGAAAGAAATAACTCTCTCAAGGATTTCAGGTCACAAATAAATTAAGAAAAAACTAAGTTTCAAGGGTTTCTTTTATTGCATCTATGAAGGCTCTAACTACTGTAACCAAGTGCCACAATATCAGCGTAAACCATTTCAAAGTAACAGTTACATGAATGTAACCCCTGAGTGCTAATAATGTGGTGATAAACTAGGCTTTATATTTTGGGGTCTACATATAAATTTTAATTCTGGCCTTTCATTTTCAAGGGTTTTTCTTTCTTAATTTCAAAGGTGCATTTTTCTTCTATTTCCCCACAAAGACATAACAACAAAAAAACCCCACAGCCATTTTGCCTTTAAATTAAAAATAGACTTGTATTTTACCTCTCTCTCATTTCTATAGCTTCACTGCTTTCATCATGCCTTTTTTTGTTGTTTTTTTGCTTTGCTTTCTACTATCAAGTCCTTGACACTTGGAGACTAAAACCTTACAACTAACAGCACAAAGATCAGAGCAGTCACAGAAATAGAAATTGCAAGATTAGAAATCTCAAAGACCTGAAAAGTAGACAGAGGAGGAATAAATAGGGATTAAGGTAGAACCAAGGAGAATAAAGGAAAGTAATGAAAAATACTTTCAAAAATAATAATGAAAAAAAAAAGTGTGTGACTGTATTATTAATGTGCAGCTGAGGAAAATTATTTCTGTAGAATTGGAGTATCACACTTATCCAAAGCAGACTGGAAGAAAGGAGGTAAGTGCAAAAGCATTGTGCATTATAAATACCCATTGACACCTTTCACATTTAGTCCATTTTTTATTGTCACCCAGGAGTAGGCAAATTTAAAAAGACCTATTGTTTCTACTATTGATCATTGTTACTCTGAGCCTTCAAATAAATAACAGAAAAATCCCACCCCATAATGAAAGAAAAACCCAAGACATTACGCAAAAAACATTTTTGCATTGACCGGCTTTCTAGCTTCATTCCCTCACTAATCAAATAACGTCTCCACGTTTCCCAATTAATTTCCTTATTTTCAAGCCTTGCTAGGGCTTTCTGGCTGGTTTTTCAGAAATCCCCAGCTACTCATACACTCCCTGTCCCTCTTGCGTAATCCCCTGGTTAATAAGCAATTTTCAGCTCACATCTACAGAGAACAAACAAGAGATGCTTATTTTGTTTTGGTCTTTCCTTAGATGAAGTCAGGGTGTTGGTCCCAAAAATGGTAGAGAAAGGATTTCACCATGGAATTTGCTACAAAACATTAGCTTTGCAACAGATGAGCAATTGATTTCTATAAACATCTTGCAAGCAGTCTGCTTAATCTTAATCAGGCTTTGGGACAGAATTTCAACTCCTAAAACCAGGACACTTTCATAAGGCTGCACCCACAAATTATTCTCAATTGTATGCAACTACAGACAGAAACACTGTCCTGAGCTTTGATCTTTGATCTCCTTACATATCAGCAGTACGTGGTAAGAAACTACGAAGATAAAAACATACATACTCTAATAAGATGTACTATAAAGATACTGCAATGCATGTCTGAAACAATGATATACCCGCGATTTTGCAGAGCCCCTACACAGATGACTTTCAGACTAGAGGGACATCAAAAGCCAGAGGGATAAAAGTGAATATTGTTACATTCAACCCAAATGCCCATTTTTACAGTTACATTCCATTGGCCTGTAAAATTAATACTATCAACCAATGTATCCTTGACTATCTCACTGAGATGGCTCTTACATCACTTTACCTACTCTTGATGTTCTTTGTATCCCAGACACCATCTCACCATTGCTGGTTAGGCATTCTGAATCATCTAGACAAGCTTTTTCTGTTTTTCAGTAGCCTAACTAATTTCAAATCCCAGCACAAATCCTCTTAATTTCTCCATAATCTAATTTATTATTTAATTTTGAAATAGGTACCTAATTGAATGGAGCTTCTCGAAGCATCTTTTTAACTAAGATACAATATGCCTTTAAGTTAATATATTATTGTTATATCCTCTGTGAAAATTTCATAAAATAAACCTTTTATTTTAGAAAATTTTTTTACATATATTAGTATAATGTGTATTAAGACTGATCTTGTTCCACTGACTAAAATGAGGTATATAAAAGGTATACAACCTCAATATACAGCCTCACTAACACATCACATACAAACGTGTTACAGCCTTCAAAGGGTTAAACTTGATACTACTTCACTATAGTTTTTTAAAAATAACTAACAAACAGTGGTCTGCTATGAAGATCCAATTGAGACTTAAATCCAAACTTCCTAATTTCTGTGTCTGTATCTCAGGTTTCAGTCACATAATCACGACTGAAAAAATTAGTTTCAACAAGTAACCCAAGCTAACAGTCCACTCTTACTGTTCCAACCTTAGGCCTTTGGCCATGTATAAAAGATGTAATTTCAAATAGCACTTGAACATACATAATAACTGAATTGTATATAATATTCAAACAGTATTTGAAATTACATTTAAAAATGCATTTAAAATGTAAAGCTAGAGAGAGCCATCTACAGTATATAAGGTGAAAGGAGGATCTGTGAAACTTTGATGGAGAAGTGCCATATCAACTTACAAACATTTGGGAGTCTTCCAGTATGGAAAAGACAAAGCTCTTACCGTTTCCTTTGGAATTTGTGACTGGCTTTGTTCTGCATTCTAAAGGAAGTAAAAAAAATAAATAAGAACACGACTACATATGACATATACTATCTATCAGCAGGGGATAAACAAAGAGTTCTAATTCTGATGTGAAGTGGTAATGGAAAAATGAAGGGTGTTTGTCACACCCCCAATTCAAATCTGTCTAAACAAGTGCTAAATGAGAGGTGAACAAAAAATAACTTCCAGGCCAGTGCACCTGACTTTATCTGGCTAGGAGGGAGGTGGCTACCTGGCCAAGGAAGAATCACAGCTGCTTGCACCATTTTCTGGCTGGTGGAACATTCTTGTTCAGCGATGTTCTCCCCTGGCCTTTCCCTTCTGCTCTGAGGTTTTCAAAAGATGACCTCTGCAGTCCAGGTGAAACCTTCCAAATACTTTAAACAAGTACCTATTCTTTAAAACATCCATTCTCATTTTAACCAGAGATTGCCCTTTTGAGTGTGTTTGGATGAACTAGAACTACAGCACTGAATACCCCAGGACAGGAGGGTGCTTTCAGTCTACCACAGATGGGGCCGTCTTGTACCTTGCATTCCTCACCTGTGTCTCAGGGCACATAAGGCAAATATGCATCATCGGAAAAACTTTCTGCATCCCCCAACCAATTCTGGAAAATACACGTAAAGAACTATTGCTCTTCCAAGCCTACGTCCATCCGTATTAAAACTGCTTTGAGCACCCCGGAGCCAACTTGCCGCTGGCAGGATGATCACGTTTGGGGTAACCAGCTATTTCTTTCCACTCAGCTGGGCCAAAATTAAATACTAGGGTTTACTGGACTTTTTTGCTTTGGGATGTTTTGCAGGAGATTCAAACGATTAAGCAGAAAAATGTAGTGGCAAAGTGCTAGCACAAACATCCAGTTAGCTTCAAGCTGCTGCCCACAACCAGTAACAAAAAAAACGACGAAAGAGCCAACTACCAGGAACACATGAAGAACCTACATATACCAAAGGGCATATTAGCTTGTAGGGTACTGCAGACTAACTCTGTCAGCCAGTCTCTGCTGATACAGAGAATATAGCTCAAAAGCTAAACAACCGAAGTTAATCCTTCAGTGGATTCACATAGCCAGTAGCAGGCTCCATGAAGTCCTTGACAGCCAAGCTATGTTTGGTTATGTGAGCCAACCACAGTGTTACAGGAGCTCTGCTTAAACAGAGGAATCCTCATCCCTTTATGAAAGGGAGCAGGGAGGGAGGGAAGATTTTTAAGAGACAACCTGCCTCACACTGATGTGGACAAGCCCTAATATATTACCTATCTGGCATTAGGTAACTCTGGAAGCAATAAAATACTTGGTATTCTGGAGAAGCATAATCGTTCCTCCAGATCTCACTGGTTAGAAAAGTTGACTCCTGCCAATTTGATATTATTCCCTGCTTCCATGTTTTACTCACTTTTACCATGATATCCTGCACTGGATGATGGTTCCCCACCACATACACACTCCCTAAATGGACCACACAAGCTAAAAAGATCCCATGCTAACCTAAACTGGTTCAGCTTAACGTTTCCCTAAGTCTTAGATACAGCTACACATTTTCGTAGGTCCCTTCCAGACAATAATGGCAACACACATCAAAGACGTTAAACTCCACAATTCTCCTGAAAGTTTATTATCTTCATTTTACTCATAAATAAACCCAAGGATAAGTAACTTTTGAAAAGCCATTCAACAAGCCATAACCCAGAACATAAAATCTAAACACCTCTTCTACTGGGATTACTATCTGTACAAATGTTGGCAAATATAAAATGGTTTTAATACTGAGTACTCCCCAGCAAGCAACAGTAAGTCCTGCCCTTTATGGGATGGATAATATCAAATAATATGATTTTATGCATATGGTTTCTGAGATACGTCTCATTCAGTTAATATTTAAAGCATATAAATGTAGAGAATGTGACAGAAATAGGGGAAGGATGCAAAGACAAATTGTTCCTAAGTGGCCAAAGAACGTTTGCACATGAAAACGATGAACTGACGTGATTTCAGATCACTCCCTTCCCTCCTTCAAAATTAATTTTGTTTGTTTGTTTGTTTGTTTGTTTGTTTTGTACATAAAGCTAGTAAAAGTCAATGAGAGAAGTGGGTTGAAAAGATACTGTTTTTTTCTTTTAGGATTATTTCTTACCAGAGAAGAAAGAACAGCCCTTATGATGAGTTTTAGTTCAACACCTTCCCCAGCAATTCTGCTCCTGCTCTTTGACAGCTGTCAGCAGAGCACAACTAGTAGTTCTTCATGTCAAAATGCAAACAAACAAATCCTTATGCAACAGAGGATCATCACACACACGTACTGTCAGATCCTCACAATATCATTTGTTCAACTGGAGCTACAGAAGCATACACCAGTTCAGATCTGATCTCTGACTACATAGCACGGAGCCCATCTATACCTGACACAGTGATGATGAGATCTGGCTTCCCTATGCTGGTGTTTGCCCAAATAGCTGAGAGAGTATCGCCTGAGCAGCAGCAGGGAGGCTACTGAGGTTGAAGTCATTTAAAGGGGCTCATTTGCTTGTATTTTTAAAACTACATCAAGTATTACTATTAAATCTCTGCATTACATCATATCTTCTTTTACAATTATTTAAATATCGTGTTAAATTATGCATTATAACTTCTTCATTTCACCATAGAAATAATATACACAAAATTAAGACATTTTCTTACTTCTAAGTTTATTTAGAAAACTTAAAAAGCATTTTCATTCACCTTTGTGAAAGATAGCAATACTGTGAAAATTACATCATAGGAACTTATAAACAGATTGCTTTCACAGTTCCAGTAATAAGGTAGGGCATAATATGATTTCAAATTGTTAATTTCTCTTCATTTTATGACAACTTTCACTCCAGTACTTGAAGTCATGTTCCAAGAATATTAGGGTAAAAGTGTGGTTCGTTTGCAACTTTCCCTGCCACTTTGACTTCCTAGGTTTAATTGTAGTTTTGAAAAGTAAAAGGCTTAAAAGGTTCAACGCCTTGAAATTCATTCTCTTTGCATTCAAAATAACACAAATCCGATAAAAAAATGAATCAATCTATTAATCATACTTATATTTGTCACATTTGTCTATCTTCTCACAATAATGCAGCCAAGTAAGTTATTTTTAGAGCTATATATAGCTACATTAATACAAATAATAAATAACTTCAGCAGTTTAATTGAATATAGAACAAAGTAAGACTGTTACATTCACAGTCTACCTTTTCATAACAGAAATTATCTTGAATAATTATCAAAGAAATATCTGTATACACTATGAAAGTGGAGCAGGTATAGTATGAAACATCATTTTATTTCCATTTCATGTAAATTCCTCAGAAACATTTTCTGAATTACCTGCTAAATTAATAACTGCAGGGTTTCCATTCCACAGAGATTGCATTTATATTCAAAAAAGGCTATTATTTCTTATATATTCCATTTTTTGATAGAAAGATATTTACATATCCTGTTTTAGCATCATATTATATGCTCTGAAATATTTTAGTGAGCAGGTAGTGGGACAAACGGCAGGCTTTCAAACACAGATTTGTCCACATGAAAGATATGAAATAATCTACTTGTGTGTATGCATCCAAATAAAGTCCATCCAATAGCTTCTTCTATAATAAACATTTTCACTCAAAATAACACTCTCACTTATAGATTATTAACAAATATTTAATTCCAATAGCAAATCTTGAAGAGAATAAAACACGTTCAGGTAAAATGTTCTAAATAAAGCAAGACAGCTGTGGGGTTTGTTTTTCCCTTATATTAAGTGCTGGCCATGCATGTTTACTAGCAGGTGACAAGATCAAATCATTTGCTTATACTCATCTAAATCTCTTAGTTGCTCTCTATTTTACGCACCAGTTCCCTTGGATGGAATGTTTCTTCCTGTCGAAAAATCAGAAGGCCGACAGTCCCTCCCATCTTGGTGCTTCGTAGCAAGGACACAACTTCTTCTTGAGTTTTGCCTGTTAAATCCACTCCATTTACCTGTGACAAAGGAAATACTAGAAATTGCTAAGACTCCAAAACAGGAAAACAGTAGAAATTCATATCGAAAAGTCAAGCAAATCATATGGGACAGTATTAAAAGAAACTTACTGAGGCAATCTGCTTAGTGACTCAGTATAGCTTCCATTTGACAGAACTAATTAAACATGCATTCTTTACATACGAGTACAAATAAGAAGGAGGACAGCTATATTTCCCTCCTCTTTAGCAGCAACTGTATACTCCAGTATACTCTAAAGACAACAAATTCCATCTATCAATATTTTTACAAGAATTTCTGCATAAAAATCCTTTGGCAAAATCAATGTGTGATCCAAACTAGTCCTGTTTCCACATGTCTTGGTGTTATATATATCTTGCACAATAAATTATACCAAAAGTAGAAAATAATGTTTTTCCCAAAAAATAATTTTGGAGCAGTTACTCTTTATTTGTCTTTGTTCAGTCATCCAACCCCTTGGCCTCCACATACCACTTACCAGTACAGATAGGTATGGAATACATACAGGTAAATTTCCCACTCTATGAGCTAACTTCAGTAAGGGAGAAGTCAGAGAAAGATAAGGTATTCTCAGGCTTGCCTGTTTAGAAACATTTTGGAAACGTAAGGCAAATCAGCTAACAGTGGGAAGCAAGTGAGCATGGTGCTCAGAAGAAGTCAGCAAACCATCTTTTTCCTTCCCCTCGTAAGATCACAGCTCACACAGTTGAGATGCCGTAACTGTTGTCTTAAATGCTTCTCAGTCCTCTTCTACCCAAGTCATCTAGGTTACCCTGAATTACAGTAATTACAGAGGGCTATCCTCCAGCAGTAACTCAAGTTGACTTTGCCGATTTTGCAGTAAAGTGAAGTTAGGGCTCTGAGAGGCAGTTACAGTCTCAGCTATGCCTCCAGCGTCATTTGGCTTAGGGATGGTAATGAAGAGCTGTGGGTGATAACGTATCACTCCAGCTAGATTTGCAGGAAGATCTCTGCTGTGCACCTAAGATAAATTTAATTCCCTCGAGGACATCCTCCCTTCAGGAAGGAAGTGGCCTTGATTCCCTGTAGCACTACCCTCCTCATATTGTCCCTTTCAGTTAATTCACTAAACGTTTTCAGGGTATTGTCTTTGATACTTGGCAACTTCTTCAATAATTTCTGGTCTGTCACTCCATGTTGATTTAATGCCACTTTTTAGTATCACTTTGCTTCAACTTATTCCTAAACAGCAACGCAAGATTATAACACTATATTCACATAAGGACATGTAAACTCATGTTTTCATAATACATCTGGGTCAAGCTCTTAGAACAGTTATGTACTGAAAATGCACAGCCCTTGATCTGTTACCTAAAAATACAAAGTCAAAAAAAAGGAAAAAAAGAAGAGGGAAATATTTTCCTATAACATAAACTTCTAAGAGCCTTTGGAAGTGAACTGGTGTGTGGGTTCATGCCAAAACACAGACAAACAACGTGTAACACTTCATCACCTCAATTAATCGGTCTCCAGCTTTTAGTCTCCCATCTTGAATAGCAGCACCTCTCGGAAGGATGTTTTTCACATAAATTGGAGCAGAGCCACCAATTGGGACATCTCTTGAAGTAATACTAAATCCCAAGCCTTCTGTACCTGCATAAAGAACACAGAATATTACTTGTTAAAGTGCACGTTATACATATTATATATTACTTTTATCCAGCAGAATGTATGTATACCTCATTGATACAATTCATGAAAATACATATATAAAATGTAAGAACTACTGCATGGCAAAAAAAAGAAAAAAAAAGGCATACATAGGAACACTATAGCTGAAGCACTGAGCCATGGCACAGGTGGCTCAGCAAGGCCTCCTTGCAACTTGCTGTTTTGATGATTTCCAAGTCACTGCCATATTTCCAACTTTCTATTTCAGATGAGCTGAGTGACAAGGAATCAGAACAAAGCATCTCTGATATCCTATGACTGTCTCCCCCCTTGTCAATCTGGATCTTGTCAATGATCCTTTCCTTCTCTTTTGCAACTCTTTCCACAACATCAGTCAGCCGACGCTGCTGGCCATGGGGCTTTGTCAGCTCACTTATGGACACCGGCAGGTGACAGGCAGAACTGGAGCTCAGTGGTCTCATTTTTTCTGCTCCAAGGGACTTCAGGCTGTTTTCTGTCAACAGCTCCTCCGCCTCAGGGCTTCACCCCAGCTCTCGCTGGGTTCCACCCCACCTTCTGCCACGCAAGCAGGGAGCTGAGCCAGGCTGCCACTTCTGAGATCCTTCTGTGCATCCAGGTGACTGACTACACTTGGTTAAGACTGACTAAAGCAAAAGAGAGACATTTAAGATGACCTGGAGAAATCCAGAGAGTTGGTCCAGTCAATATGGCAAATTAAACTTGCTCGTATTTCAGAGAAATTATGCCCACAACTGCTTATTGAAGTGTACCTTAGGGCTCCGCCAGCTCTGCGACTCACAAGCTGAGAGGACAAAGAGAAGCCTTTCCTACTATGCAGAAAGCTCATTTGTGATCACCTCTTTGATGCAGTCTGTCCAGTGTTATCAACAACCTTTGAAACTCTACACTGAAACCTGTCCCCCCTCCCCCCCAACACCGCACATCACGTCTATTCAGGACATGTAATCTAGCACGAAACCCGACAGCCACTCAGCGGAGAGCATCCCTGACAGTGTCAGCATCTACAACTTCCATTTGAAACAACTCAGAGGTTGTCAAGATATGTCTACAGTTCAAGTCCACTAGCTAGGCATAGACATGCCCAATCTACATTTAATCTGACCTACTAAGGCAACCTGCAGTTAGGACTCGGCAATATCAGGTATGGGCCCTAAAAGCTGCACAACATACCTTTTTGTATAAAATCACAGGGACAGACAGAAGTCAAACTTTTACGCAACAGTCCTCAGCTATGAGCCCTGGGAAGCTGAACACAGTCTATATGAAAGACACACAACTATAGAACCATTTGAGGTTTGCACTGGGTTTGCGTGGCAAGGTTTTGGTAGTTGGGGGGCTACAGGGGTGGCTTCTGTGAGAAGCTGCTAGAAGCGTCTTCCATGTTCCACAGAGCCAATGCCAGTTGGCTCCAAGATGGACCCGCCGCTGGCCAAGGTCAAGCCCATCAGCAATGGTGGTAATGCTTCTGGGATAACAGAGTTAAGAAGGGCAAAAAACTGCTATGGAACAGCAGCAGGAGTGAGAGTATGCAAGAGGAACACTTCTGCATACTCCAAGGTCAGTGAAGAAGGAGAGGGAGGAGGTGCTGCAGGCCCGGAGCAGAGATTCCCCGCCAGCCCCTGGTGCAGCCCACGGTGAGGCCGGCTGTCCCTCGGCAGCCCATGGAGGTCCACGCTGGAGCAGATCCCCACCTGCAGCCCAGGGAGGACCCCATGCCGGAGCAGGGGGATGCCTGAAGGAGGGTGTGATCCCATGGGAAGAGGCCACGGTGGAGCAGGCTCCTGGCAGGACCTGTAGCCCTGTGGAGAGAGGAGCCCAGGCTGGAGCAGGTTTGCTGGCCAGGCTTGTGACCCCGCAGGGGACCCAGGCTGGAGCCGTCTGTGCCTGAAGGGCTGCACCCCAGGGAAGGGACCCACACTGGAGCAGGTTGTGAAGAACTGCAGCCCGTGGGAAGGACCCACGTTGGAGAAGTTCATGGAGAACTGTCTGCCATGGGAGGGACCCCAGGGTGGAGCTGGGGAAGAGTGTGAGGAGTCCTCCCTCTGAGGAGGAAGGAGCGGCAGAGACAATGGGCGATGGACTGACCCCAACCCCCATTCCCTGTCCCGCTGTGCCACTTGCGGGTAGGTGGTAGAGAACTTGAGTAAAGATAAGCCCAGAAGAAGGGAGGGTTGGGGGAAAGATGTTTTAAGATTTGGTTTTATTTCTCATTAGCCTACTCTGATTTCATTGATACTAAATTAAACGAACTTCCCCCGGTCAAGTCTGGTTTGCCTATGACAGTAACTGGTGAGTGATTTCTCCCTGTCCTTATCTCAACCCACGAGCCTTTCATCATACTTTCTCTCCCATGTCCAGCTGAGGTGGGGAGCGATAGAGCGGCTTGGTGGGCACCTGGTGACTAGCCACGGTCAACCCACCACAAAGTTAAAGCCTGAATTAATTTCTGTCTTAGTGTTCCCTGCGTTCATTTGCTAAGTCTACTTTTTTACTGAGCAAGTTAATATTCACATATGAAAAGGAAGTAGGAGTCCAATGTAGTCAACAGTAGTCTACACAGAGATTTCCAAAATCTGCACAATTACTTTTGATTAAAATTTACTACAATCTATTTTATTATCAAGACAGTAATCATGTTAAGAACTAAATTGACACAGGTGACAGGTCTGGTGGTGACCTAACTTTTTAAAATCTTCATCTTGAACATATGTAAGTCTTCATGTATACACAGCAAGTGTATGCAGCTTGTATTGTTCAGGAAATTTGGATCAATTCCTCTAGGCTAACTCATGAGACAATCTCCCTTCCTTCTGCAGCATTCAAGATAGCTGAAGAACTGACATTTGAATTTGAAAGTCTTCATCCACTTTCAGTCTGATATAAAATTTATCAGTGCTATTATACAGAGGTGAAATAATATTTGATCTCATAACATCCATATTTTACTTTGGAGACCTCACTATTTTAATGATGCTTCAAACATTCATAGAGCTTTTTAATTCCATGCAATATGTGAAGATGATCTGTAAAAGGTTTTTTTAAGTGACATCTCAGCTTTTTATGGAATTTATCTTTTTCTTATTTTAAGACTCTGTGTTGAATACTGTTCTTTGAGTACAGGTTTTGTCTGCTAAAATTTCTGAAGTAATATCAGAACATGACTGCATGCCCAGGACAATATTTCATTATTAATAAGCTTAATCCCCATAGCCTGATTATGGTGTCATTACAGATGTCTCGTTCACACACTCCTCTTTAAAGCCCCATGGAAAAAAACAGAAGTTGAAACGCTCACATTACGAATGCACACAAGATATAAATTTGGACTGTGGCATTTTCTGCTGTCAAATCTCCAGAAAGCCTTTACCAAAGCCGGCAGAACACCACAAATCCACACTGAGCCCAGATATTAGCAGAAGAAAATTCTAATTACTTCTTTCTGTTGAAAGAAGGGGCCTCAACTGGGCTACGTTTTGCTATGCTGCTCTCTACAGCTTTGTATGAGGCAGCTTTTGGGTGTCATTTTCCTTTTACCTTTTCTCTGCTTCATTTTAGTATTTGTGCATTATAGCTGCCCTTAGCTGTATAATACAGCTTCGTAAACTCCTATGCTTATTACATATAAATTAGAACTTCACAAGACTGTGAAATAAATGGATACATTCAATCTAAGCCAAAAATAAATACAACTTCTGTGACTGGATTGATTTTACTATTTTTTTTTCCCTTTTTATACACACAACTGATTTAGTTATCTCTACTCCATGCATTTCAGTTCTCTGGTTGATAGAAAAGCATATAAGATCTTAGTATCCTCCTGTTGCTAAAATGTTTTCAGTTCTTAGGGTGTAAAACTGCATTATAATAATGAGGGAACTGTGCAAACATATTGTAGGCTCCTCTGATATCTCTGATTTATACTAATAATATGGGAGAAACTGGACACACATACAGGCAGAACCAGAACATGAATAGAAGAAATTTCCATCTTTTTCAAAACACAGTAGTCATCCTACTCAAAGCTAGGAGCTTTACTTTGCAAGATGATTTGCACTATGTACAAGTTAATCTCTTACAGATTTTAAAGAGAGAGGGCAGAAAATGTTTTCCTCCCTCTATAGCTGTCATCTCTGATAACGATCACATTACACCGAGTGATATTAATGTTTAAAAATTACCCACTAATTTGTGTAATTCAAATTCTTAGCCTTCTTTGACAAATCAGCAGCTCTCTCGACAAGTTAGAGCTCCCCTTTTCTCTTGAATGTGATGCTGAACACACCTTCTAAGACGGCATTACCCTCAAGAGCTCAGCCAGCTCTGAGCTGAAGTGAATAAAAAGGGAAATTACAATAGTGAAAGAACTATTGTACAAAGAGAAGAGGGGCAGATTTGATGCTTCAGTTGCTGTTTTGGAGGGAAAAAAGTTCTAGCAGCATTAAGGCACGAGAGGGGTCTTTCATGTTATTTAATTAAATATATATTCAAAATGAACATCATCACCTTATTGGAATCAATCTGATCATAAACTGACAGGATGTTAAAAAATTTATTAAATCTTACTAAAGGTGCTAGACTTCCTGTTATCTCCCAGCGAAGAAGTGTTTAATTTCTCACTAATGCTAGGATTATCTTCCTGATTGTGGCAAGAGTGTGCCTTTTTTATGTTTCTGTCTTTCTAAGGCTCTTCTGCATGAAAAATCATGTGCTCCTCAGCCAGCACCAACTTCAGGTCTAAATTCTCAGCAGCAAAATGTGACGCTGGGTAGAAACACTGTCAGAACATGAGACAAAAAGCAAGCATCACCTCTGCACTGCTTCCAGTACCTTCATGTCCCTCTCAAAAGGACAGAGACCCAATGAGGAACATCTGAAGGACCTACACTGTCAACTTCTTATGATACTTCTCTTACAGTTATCTTTCCTTTCAGGACTGCAAGCAGAGCTAGAAACAAATCATGCTCTTCTTTCTCCTCTAATTTAAGAAAATGCAGATGAGTTCTCAGGTGCCTCAGTACAGATGTCCCCAAATTTAAAAAAAAAAAAAAAAATCACTTCTAAAACAATGGAAAACATTTGATAACCAGACAATTGGGCACCACATTTGTTAGCACTTACGTAAGAGAAGCAGGGAACATTTCAGAACAACCTAAATATGGAAAATCTATGTGTGTGAACAGTTCTCAGATGGAATAAAGGATTGCTAAGGAAAAGTGCAGATTCTTCATGAAAGACAAAGAACACACTCTCCCTTTCCTAAACCAATAAGGGAGGTTGGTTACACTTATAAACAGTCTGTGACACAAAGTCACAAACATTACAAAATAAAGCACTCCCACTTAATGAAAGTATTAGATTATAAAATGATCCAGAATAAGGAGAGAGAGAACATAACAATGAAACTAAGCAGAAGGACCAAACGCTCTCTGACAATAATCAG